AAAGGTGCAAACGCATAGAAAAATCTGCGTTTTCAAAAATACCCGGGTACGTGTGGACATAGCCTTAGTCCAGGTCTCAGTGTTAGTCATTTCCTGTCAAATTTCTCAAGTCCTGTGTGCCTTGTGTTCCTCTATCTGATTAGTCAGTTATTGATTTCAGCCTTGTCTCCACTTGTTGCCTGTTCCCTCATCATCCCGTGAATTTATATATTGTGTCAGTCTTTATTGTGTTCTGACTCAAGTCCAAATCCGGGTTGTCACACAGCTGATCCCTGATACTTGCAGCATATGTACACAGTATGTACCCCTTTGTAATAAATTTCTCCTTTGTATAGTATAATATTGTCTTTGTGTACTGTACCTGTGTATAAACTCCAGGGAATCCTGGCTGTCCGCACCTCTCACCCCAGCTGACGATGCCCCACAGGTAGGAAACTCCCAACTCATCCACACAAACCAGAGGACCTCCACTGTCGCCCTGACAGGAGTCCACGCTGCCCTCCACATCACCTACAAATAAACACATTTCCATCTGTACTATATCCAGGTTGCAGTAGTCCGGCTGTGTATAGATCACTCACCTGCACACATCATGCCTGGTTTGAAGCGGTTTCCATAGAATCTGCCGCAATCGTTGATCAGAGAAACGTTGGCCCAGAGCAACACTGAAGCTGACCTCCCCTCTGGACACAACGACAGGAATATTTAATCTTTGCTCATTAATCAAACCAGCTGATGGGAAAACATAACTTCACAAAGTACATATGAAGTAAATGTAAACATTTTAACATACAAAGTAGATGTAGATATAGATCAATACTGTTGCATTCTTGTCTAATAAAAGTCTTCTTTGTCCTGTTTTTCACTTCATGATGTTCCAGATATATTCAGCTTGTGTAAGATCTGGACTGTCAGCAGGCCAATTTAGCACCTGCACTGTTTTACAATGAAGTCATGCTGTTGTAATAGGTAGAGGGTTCTGTTTAGCACTGTTTTGGTTAATTGTACATTTTTCCTGAAAAAGATGGAACCTGAATGCGAGAGCATGTTGCTCTAAAGCCTATATATACCTATGTACCTTTCAGCATTAATGGTGTCTGTTTCTTCACGGGATCGTTGGGCTAACCTGTGTCAGTGTAGCTCCGGCTTGCTTAGTGATTTCTTTGTATTTCCTACTGCTTCTATCTAACGTCTATCTCCTCTCCTTTTACAGGCTTCCCTGGACCCCTGCTTGTTATCCTGCTTTGTGGACCCTGAGTGGATGTGAACGAGTGAGCTTTTAATGGATTGGACTTGGAGTGCTTGAGAGTCACAGACCTTTTACCAGTTTTAGTCCTGCAATTGAGTCCTGCTGCTAACAAACCTTTACATTAGGCACTAATGCACCTCCATACTGTCAGAGATGCAGTCTTGATGCATGCTCAATCATCCAGGGAAGTAAATCTCCAAAAAGTTGATTCTGTTCATCTGGACGTAGCGTTTTGTGGGAGAAATGTTTCGTCACTCATCCAAGTGACTTCTTCAGTCTCAGCTGACTGCAGGTTTCCCCAAATCTTATAAACAGTACATTTACATCCCCACAGACACAGCGG